AAAAAAAAAAAAAAAAAAAAAAAAAAAGAAAGAAAAAAAAAAGAAAACTGGAGCAAGAGGTTCAGAAGTGCAGGGCCTCCCTGGGCCATTCAAGGTTCAGCCTGAAAGAACTTAGCAACCACCTTGTCTCAAGATAAAAAGAAAATTAAGGCTATAGCTCAGTGATAGAGCACTTGTCTAGCACACATGAGGACCTAGGTCTAATCACCAGTGCCAATACTAGAATGGGGCAAGGGAGGGGGACATTGTGAGGAATCTTCCACATATTGAGTCCTAAATTTATTATTGAACTCCTAAAAACAGGTCTGGAAGTGCATTCCATAATCCTAGCCCTCAAGAAGTAGAGGTGGAGAATTACAAGTTTGAGGTTGTCCTCGGGCTACACAGAAAATTTGCCTGGGATATGTAAGACCTGGTGCCTGGCTATGGAACCCTCAGGCACATTTTACCCTTGGGCTGCTGGCTGGCCCATTAAGTGGTACCAACATCTCATTCAAACATAGTTTTGAGACTTAGCAAGGTAACGGAAATGGGCATGGTTTATTTAAAAATGTACTAATGTTAGCTATTATTTGGTACAAAGACTCCAAACAGGAGCGATGGCTCATCAGTTAAGAGCACACTCGCTGCTCTTGTGGAGACCGGGGTTTGGTTTCTAGCATCCATAACAGTACACAGCTACCTATAACTCCGGGTTCAGAGGATCTGCCTCCCTCTTCTGGCTTCCTCAGGCACTAGGTACATACCTGATGTACATACACGTAGGCAGGCACTCACGTATGCACAAGAAAATAAGTAAGGTTTTAAGAGAAGACACTACTGGGCCGGCCAGTAGTGGTGCATGCCTTTATCCCAGCACTCGGGAGGCAGAGACAGGCAGATCTCTGTGTGTTCGAGGCCAGCCTGATCTACAAGAACTAGTTCCAAGACAGGCTCCAAAGCTGCAGAGAAACCCTGTCACGAAAAACCAGAGAGAGAGAGGGAGAGAGAGAGGACACTGGGCAACAGGGTGATCAAAGGCCAGGTGTTTCTTCAAGGCCGCATAGCAACTCCTACACAATAATGAGGTATCAAACACTGCCAATCAACTGGCTTCTGGAACAGGGTGCACCAAAAAAAAAAAAAAATGCTGTCCCAAGAGGGATGCTATGCAGCTAGCGCCACAGTGAAAATCACCAACTACTGTTGCCTTGTCTGAGCAAGTCTTGCCAGAGAGAAACACTCAGTGGGAATAAAATGCTTAGAAAACAAAGCTGTTGGATGAACATGAGCAGCTCCACTTATGAGAACAGGATAAAACCGATCCATTTATTGACAGACAGATGCCAGGCAGAAATACAAACTCCTGTGGCAGAGAAAGAGAAAGCAAGGACAAACTACACAGGAAGGAACAGCGCATCTTTCTTATGTTGATATCAACAGTGCTCTAGCCCATTAAAAGCACCACCAACTCAGCTTTCCCCTGGCCCAGTTGGATCAGTTTTATAAATATTCAATCACATTTCCGAGAGAAAGCAGCATTTCATGTCTTAATAAATCAATTCCTATCATCTGCTGTGTTGAATAGAATTTTTAAACACTACCCATATCTGTCTGTCTTTATTAAAAAGCTAGGACATATATATTCCACTGTTCAAGGAAACTTTCACTCCACACAACACTAGAGTTGTTCAGAACAATAGCATTGCTGGCTCATTAGCATTTCTTTAAAAGGCAGCCAAAGCAAGGATGGGTTTTAGCTAGTACAACAGGGCTGGGGGTGGGGCGTGTTGCTTCAGTTTGCAGTTTCTCGGTTAAAATAATAAGGGTTCAAAACTGAGATCCTCCTTCAGCAAATACCAAGAAATTAATCTGAATTCACTTTTATCGCGCAAGATAAATTCAACACCGCTTCCTTTATTTTCTCCCAAATGTATTTTCCAAGTAGCCTTGCATAACCTTATCCTCTTCATTTCTATCACTTGGCTTAGCAGGACCTGAGTCACCAGAAATATGAGTGCATCTGTGGTTGCAACCTCAAGTTACTCCTCAAGTACCAACCAGGTCATGCTTCGCATTAATAATATATCCCTACAGCTGATACGCTCGTTTTCTTTACTCCAATGAAGCAAAAAATTGAGCTGGGTGTGGTGGTACAAGCTCAGTTCTCAGGAGAGTTCCAGGCAAGCTTGGGCTATACAACAAGCTCCAGGTTAGACCAGGCTACGTACAGACGGTTACTTTGTCTCAAAAGGAACAGTGAAATGGGGGCAGGGGCAACTGGCCCCAAGTAAAATTCTAACTGCAACAGTACAACCAGTTTCAATCCTCCACAACATAAAGTCTTTCCACAAATTACAGAAGCATTTGGGTGGAGAAGTGTCTACTTGTCTGTTTTTAACCTAGCCATGAACAAAAACTATTGTTAAACTCATCTAATTTGAACATGACTCGCAACTCCTTTTATTCTGTATTGTTTCTTCTTTCATAGCAATCCAAAGACAGCAAAAGTCTGCACCCATTTTAAAGATCATTTGTTCCTGTCTTAGGAGGAACAATGAAGAACGTTCAGTGTTGGCCCTGAATCCACCTCACTAAACATTACATTTCCAATGTTTTACTTATTGTGAAATTACCACAAATGAACCAATTCCATTGATAGAGCATAAATCTTGTACACACAATACGAAAGACAATTCAAATTGGTTGGATTGTTATCCACAATACATACAATACCAAGTTGATATTCACATGGTTTTTTGTTTTGTTTTTGAGACAGGGTTTCCTTGTGTAGCCTTGGCTGTCCTGGAACTCATTCTGTAGACCAGGCTGGCCTCAAACTCAGAGATCCCCTGAGTCCCAGGTGCTGGGATTAAAGGCGTAAGACACCAGCGCCTGGCCACATGCCCTTTCTTAGCAGTTCCTACATTGTTCTTTTAACCACACGACTCCAGGAACTCTATCTACTGTGCATCTGCACATCCTGCAGTCTTCTCAGAGTCTCAGAGCAGCTACCCCAAATAAAGATGTTTGTATTTACATGGAATTCATCAGTAAGAATGCTAACAGAAATAAGGTTTTGACTTCTAACTGTGCAGTCAGGCAAAACCTTCTGCTATTCTCAGGTCACCCTTTTTTTAAATTTATTTATTTATTTATTTATTGAAGATTTCTGTCTCTTCCCCGCCACTGCCTCCCATTTCCCTCTCCCCAAAAAAGTCCCCCTCCCTCGTCAGCCCAAAGAGCAGTCAGGGTCCCTGCCCTGTGGGAAGTCCAAGGACCACCCACCTCCATTCAGGTCTAGTAAGGTGAACATCCAAACTGTCAGGTCACCTTTATAAGGCAGGTGGTAAATAGGCTGTGGCTCACTCCCCACTGTGATACCTGAAGTCACTACTACAGTCCACACAGACATTATGACATGCGCACAGTCTAGAATATCCCTTTGTCTAGGCCATCAGAAGTAAGGAAGAGGAGAATGGGCTGAAATAAAGGGACAAAACACATGATAGGTCTCTTTTGTAATTTTAATTGAAGCACTGCTAATCATGTCTTTTGAAAGCACCAAATTTTAAAATCTAAGTCAATTTGGGGGTGGGGGGAGGGAGAAACACTATCAGGAACTTCTCTCCAGAACAAACAATGATGTTCATTCCTCCACAAGTCCAAATTAAAGTCTACTGAAGCCAAAACTAAAACCCAAACCCCACACAGAGAAAAAAAAAGAAAGATCCTAAAGTCACATTCTAGGGGGTCAGTGCATTCCGCAGTCTTCGCTGGGCTGTCTAATTGTCCTTCGGATGACTTTCAAAAATTAACACCCTAGCTCATCAAAATATACATTTTTCCCATTGGCTTTTTTTAAATTAAAAATAATAATTAAAAACAAACAAAAAAACACTTGAAGGAATTCATGACCAGTTGCCTGACTTGGTTGATGGCATACAGAGCAAATGGAAGTCAGGAAGGCGGCTTGCAGCACACGACATTCAGGGGATGCTCATCTTTAAGGCTTAGCTTTCTTCCAAACAGTGTAAAATACCCACCTGGACCGGGAGTTAAGGAATAAGAAAGGCCATTCAAGCAAGAGCAGGTACCACTTAACATGTGTATATAGGCTGACAAATTGAAAGATGGACAGGGATTTATGGGCGTAGGTTGAACACTGTAGGGATAGGACAAAGGGCTTTTAAACAAGGCACTTTGCAGCACGGGCCGTCGACCATTTGGGACAAAGACTAAGGAGTACACTACTCAGTTCTACTGCTTCTGCTCTGGAGCTCTCCCAAAAGTCTGAAGCATCGGTGTGAGGAGAAGAATGAATCAGGGAAATTGGATGGGAGTAAAGGAAGGGAGAAAACAGCAGGGAAAGGTGGAAGAGCAGAAGAGCAGAAGGACATGGGACCCTAAAACCCAGAGCCTTCTCCCTTATCACCCCTATTCCTCAAAGCACTCAACAGGAAAAAAGCCCTTCCTAAAGGGGCAAGGGAGAGTGAAGATGGAGATGCTAAATCTCCACAAGCCACTGAAGGACATGGCTACCCAGCAGAGTATCCCCCTCTTTAGACATAGAGGACGTAGGCAAGAAAGTTCTTGCCTCTTACTAGGCATCCAGCTTCCTACCTGCCCGAGCTAAGCGCCACTCCCAGGGCCAGCAGCATTGCAGGGTCTCCCTGATAGCAACTGCCATCATGGAAAAAACACACCTAGACTCAGCTTGCAGCTATGGAAGCCAGTGACTGTGGACTATAGTTTACTACAAATATGGCTAGTCTTGCTAGTCAGCTTACTCTGGGCATCCCCCATTTTCCCTTTCATATGCTGAGATTATAGGTGGCCCATTAAGCTTTTATGTGGGCTTCTGGGAAGTCAAACCATTTCTCGAGTTTTGGGTACACATCACTACCCCAGAGGACTGAGGAAACTGGCCTTTGGGCTCCACCCCTACCTTCTATTTGGGGTGATGACAGAAGAACTTGCATATCTAACTAGTTCCCAGATGATAGGCCTGGCTATCGTCCGTCTTTGACAGCAATTGTTTCTGCTTTAGATCAGTGGGACTTAATGATTAAAGGACCCTGGGAAACGATGACAAGGGATGCCCCAGTCTCTAAGATTCAGAAACAAAGCCTACTTTTTCAAGTTCCTAGGAAGAGCCCCCAGTTAAGTTTGAAACTCAGAGTGTGTACACTACAGAGCTGATTCTGCTTGTTGTTATGATTAACAACGGCAGCACGTGATGGACTTGGACGTTCTGAAAAGGCAGCACATAATGTCTTGGTCAAAGGATACAATTCCAAGTATGAAGGGACACAGACAATCTCTTTTGAGAATTCCACAGGACAATACAGGCGCCCCAGCTGTTCTTCATAGAGTGACAGGGCTTCAGTCAAATTGACACAATTCCCCTAAATCAGAGAGAAAAGGAAACATTGGGATTGCTAAGTCATACTCACTTGAAGGTCTCTAATAAAGGAAGAACAATTGGAGCTTGAGATAAAAGTTCATCTTTAAAAAATGAGATAAGAACTCAATACTTCCACAAATTGCACTGGATTCTATTTATGGGTTCATTAGTCCATTCTCTTTCTACCTCATTTGCGGAGCTATTTCAAATTACTGAAGTATGAAGCAAAGAAAGCAGTGAAGCCAATTTCTCATTAGTGACACAGTTCATTGTATCCACACCACGCAATTTAGCATATTCATCCACATAACCCACTCAAAGTAAACTTTTTGTCAGGAATAGTCACAACTGCATTGAAACTGAATAATCAAAATAATGTTCTTGCTTTCCATGCTGATTTAAACAACAAAAGTCCTGACAGAGAATTGCAGTCATACCTCATCCTTTCCTCAAATTCTGATTTTTAAAGTGTATCATTGTGCGCCAACATGTGTGGGCATGTGTTACTGCATGAGTGCTCAAGCTCACATGCTGGAATCAGTTCTCTCCTTCTACCTTTTTCGTGGCTTCTGGGCCTCAAACTCAGGCTGCCAGGCTTCTGTTGCAGGAACGAACAACATGAGATGAAAACTTCACAAAAGTGGCCTATGCTATCAGAACTTCTGAGAGCAGCCATCCAGCCATGAAAATGGGTTAGAACTATTCCAAGAGACAGCCTTGGTGGTTTTAACTTAGCACATTCACTTAGCACAACGTCATCCTTTAGTGGCAGCCTGTTTAATAACCCATCATCTAGGGTCCTGCAGTGGGATTTAGCCAAAGTGCCCTTCGCCAGCATATAATTTGGTTTCAACATCAAGTTCACCATGAGAGCATATAAACACCACACATGTAATTTACAATTCGTAAATAGAAAACACTGTCCAGTTGTTTTTAGAACACATCACCACTGGGGAAGCTATATAGAACGGACATGCCACCAAGGTGTACAGCTGACTGGGTGTCTGCCATTTTAAAACTGACACCCTGCTCTGTGTTTAAAGAGGACATATGGGAGGGCCGGACCTCCTTACTGAGAATGTGGTACAAAAATTGGAAGGTTTCAATTTCTTTCCCAACATTGTCAAGAAGCAGTTTTTCAAAAGAAAAAGGGAAAGAAGAAACTCCACAAATAGAGACCTACCCAAAAAAGGAAGATGATAAATTTCACTTTCCTGTCTACATAAATAGAACATTTTTTTCTTTTCTTTTTAAGAAAGATACATTGGAGTTCCAAAACAAAACCCAACAGCAAAGAAATAATCATCCATTAGTTCAGTAGCTTTGGTTCTAGAAAATTCTCCATCTCTCATATTAGACTTAATTAACACTTGCTTTTTTAGTTTATAAACTTTTGTATTGTTTACATTTTTAAACTGAAATCAGATTGTACTATTTTTGTAATATAAATCCTGAGTGTTTCTTATTAGGTTCAAAATTAAGCAAAACCAGCTGGGTGTGGTGGCACACGCCTTAAATCCAAGTACTCAAGAGGCAAAGGCAGGAGATCTCTGAGTTAGAGGCCAGCTAGCCTGCTCCATACAACCAGTTCCAGGCCAGCCAAGGCTGCATAGTGAGGCTCTGGTCTCAAAATGGGGGCAGTGGGACTAGGAGAGTTGATGAGGTGGTTAAGAACACTCACCACTCTTCTACAGGACCCAAGTTCAGTTCTCAGCACCCATGTTTGACGGCTCACAGCTGCCTATTAACTCTAGGTCTAGAGTGACCGATACCTCTAGTTTCCAAGGTCATCTGCATATTCGCATGCACATATCCCACACATATAGACACATCATTAAAAATAACAAATCTTATGCAAGCAAAACTAAACAGTAAAAAAAAAAATCACACTCATGTGAACTACAAAATGTACAAAAATTTTTGAGAATTGACACTAAAGGACAAGAAAGAAAAGACGGCTCAGTGGTTAAGAATACTTACTGCCCATGCAGAGAACCTGAATTCAGATTCCAGCACCCATGTTGGGCAGGCCACAATCACAAGTAAATGCAGCTCCAGGGGATCTGATCTCAGTGGCCTGAGAGAGTATTTGTACTCACATGCACACACACACACACACACACACACACACACACACACACACACTTTATTCAGTTTTTTTCATTTTTATGAGACAAAGTTTCTCTGTGTAGCACTGGCTATTCTGGAACTCTCTACAAAAACAAACTGGCCTCAGACTCAGAGAGCTCTACCTGCTTCTGTTTCCCGAGTGCTGGGATAAAAGGCCTATGCCAGTATGCACGGCTTTAAAAAGTTAAAAAGAAAAGCGGACAGTCAAGAGGCTGCAAAGACAACTCGGTGGTGAGAAGCACACAATGGGATTACAGACATTCAAGAGGTTCAGTTTTCCACACTCGTGTCAGTGACCCATACTTACACACATATAATTTGAAAGATGAAATAAAAATAAATGAAGAAATTTTTCAAATGATGCTAATGATGGATTACTTCCAGAAAGCAGTAAAGCTTTAGCAAGGATTACAGATGTCTAAAGGGTACTGATAATGAACAGTCCAAGCTATGGGAGTGCTCAGGAATTTGCTCCATTTTTCACTGTGGTTTCCATGTGTGTTACATACCCATTTTTGTATGTAGCAGCCTGTTTTTTTTTTTCTTTTTTGGCTTTTCAAGGCAGGGTTTTGCTGTAGTTTTACAGCCTGTCCTGGAACTAGCTCTTGTAGACCAGGCTGTCCTCGAACTCACAGAGATCCGCCTGCCTCTGCATCCCAAGTGCTGGGATTAAAGGCATGTGCCACCACTTCCCAGCTGCCTATTATTTTTTTTAAGTAAGTGGTTGGAGACAGAAGATAGATGGTCAAGTCCCAGGACCTAACTTCTACCCTCAAATATGCACATTCCTAAGTTCTGTGGCAAGATAGTAAGGCTTCTTTCAAGCACCCAGGATGATGCCAGTGATGTCACAAATTTGCCACTGTGACACGAGCAATGTGTTGGTAGGAGTTTCTGAAAATCATTATATAAAATCCTCATCCCACCATCAACATTCTCCATTTTTCTGCTACACACTCCAGCTAAGGGCAGAATCAACTGTTATCACCTGAGCATGTCAACAGGTAGAAAACAAATAAGCAGAGTCTAAGGGTACAAGTCAATGGGAGAACTCCTGTCTGTCATTCACCACAAAAAGAAATCGATGATGATGAGTGAATACGTCAATGAATGAATGGTGGCGACCACAGCTTCCTGTAAGGCTTATGCCTCTTAAACCAGGTGAACCTTAGTGTGCGGCACATAGCCCAACACAAGAAACAAGCCCAGGACGGCACAAAATGGTATCACTATATCTCCACTCGTACTGAATGGAAGGACAGAATGTATGCAGTGATGTCTTTGGGATAATCCTTGGCAAAGAACACAGCCTTGGACTTATGATCTGAAGGTTTAAAAGAGAAACAGTTCACAAAAGCAAGTCCTCAAAGTTACAGTCATTAGTATTTGTACATGCTGTATTCTCGTGGGACATTTCTATTAGTTTCCCACACTCAAGCACCAGTTCCCCTTAGCAACCAAGCACAAAACTACCATGATGGCGCCTTTTACCTACTCCAAACTGACTGCTTCACAGAGGATCCATACTTAAATACCCTTCCCTCAGACTCCCAGGCAGCTGGGATTATAGGCAGATGGCACCCATGACTAGCTTGTTCTCACTCTCTGTACTGGAGCAGAGGAAGCCCTGTAGTGTAGTCCTGAATTAGTATTGTTGACATGGGCATGCCTCAATGTTGGGACTAATGAGTCCTGGCCTTCAGCTGCTCTTCCCTCCTAGAACCTTCTAATTAAAGTTACTAGAAGCTGTGCCTAGCTTAGAGGATCAGAGGATGGGATTTTCAGCTGTTGGCCATTGACTGCAGTGTATTTAAGCCTACATGGTGCTAAAAAGGGGGGGCTTTTGGTATCAGTGTTAAAAGGTCTGCGTGTCGGTCTGTCTCTGCGTGTGTATTCTCAACCTCCAGCCCCTTGCCCGAAGCTCGCAAACTGAGTTCTAGCGCACAGAGCACAGACATGGGGGCGCGGTGCATGGCACCTCAGTCCAATGGAATGGAAAAGTCTTCACCAGCTGGGATTCAAAGAGATGGTAATACCTTCTTTGAGGGTTTTAATGCTAGTGATTGATCAGTGTGTTCAAAACTAGCAACGACTTCTTCCCCATAGATGTTCACAACCAGAAACTGCTGGCCTATAGATACTCCTACCAAGATAAGCTAACTTCTTTCCCCTGTGCTGTATATAATAAAACACAGAGGTTCCAGGTTGCTTGTAGTAATTGGCTCAACTCTATCAGAGTGCACACAGCCTACCTGACCCCAACTTCTCCATGCAGAGGTATCCTGTTCTTTCTTTTCATCATTTTTTCACTACTCTTAGCCGGAGCTCCAGATCCAACCCATGCCGATCCTGGCAAGTCTCTTTTGGTTATAAGATCCTAGAGCCTCGTGTTTCCTCAATTAACCTGCTTGAGACTTTTTCTAGTTGTGGAAATGTGGAGACAGGGGAATATGATAATTATGCTCCCAAAAGTCCAACTAACTCAATCTGCATTGCTTTTACAGTACAATCCTTGTGTGAGTCAGTTTCACCATCAACAACCTACATAAAACAGAGGCCTACCAACTTCCTCCGTAAAGGGGCAGAGAGGTCACATTTTAGACAGCACACTGCTCCTGGAGCACAAAACAAATGACATGGCTGTTTATCAAGAAACTCAAACAGAGCAGGCAGCCACATCTGGCCTACAGTGTGTAGACCCTGGCTTTAAGGTACCATGTGCCCACAGGCTTTACACGCAGTGGGAAGAGAAGGAAAACAGGACAAGCTGGAACTTTAGGTGTCTTGTGTATTCTAAGTTCTTTCCAGCATTATTCTTCTCAGATCCCATGAAATAGAACAGACTAGAGTCTGCAGATAAGTGCTTTCAAGAAAAAAAAAAGACTTCTAACTATTCTGGGTATTTAAATACACCAATAATCTTTAAAAGCAGTTCATCAATTGGTATTAACAGTTGTACAGGAATAAGAAGTTCTGCCACGCAATTACACAGTATAAGGTAACTATAGCTAATGATTGTTCTTGAAAGTTCCAAGAAAGGAAGCTGACTGTTTTCTGCACAAACATGTGATACATGTTAAGAAGATACATGTGCTTAACCTGATTAAAAATTAGACAGTATATACATGCATGTAAACATCACATAGTAACTCTGTAAATGATCATTTTTATGTTTTTATAGATCAGTCAAAAATAAATTTATGTTAAAAATCTAAACCAGCCTAATTGATGCATCTACAATACAGCTCCTGAACCTAAGGCTCTTTTGTTCCTCTTTCTGCACCGTTTCTGTGATGCTCTAAGGCTCAGGGAGCATCACAGAAACGGTGCAGAAAGAGGAACAAAAAAATCTATTGTGACATTGTGTCTGTTAGAAATGCTAAGGAAGGGGCTGGAGAGATGGCTCAGCGGTTAAGAGCATTGTCTGCTCTTCCAAAGGTCCCAAGTTCAATTCCCAGCAACCACATGGTGGCTCACAACCATCTGTAATGAGGTCTGGTGCCCTCTTCTGGCCTGCAGACATGCTCACAGACAGAACATTGTATACATAATAAATAAATATAAAAATTATTTTTAAAAAAATGCTATGGAAGCTATGCCCATGATACTACAATATTATGGCTGTCAAAATAACATCTGAATGAGGATGACACTAACATACATGTTTCATGGGACCCAACCCTACCTAGACAAAGAACTGCAGTCAACTATGGAATGCTGAAAGGAGAAGAAATAGTCTTCCCCAGGGAAGAGCACACCAGTTGGTTATCTCATACCACATGGTCAGCCCTGAAAACTGTGTGTGTGTGTGTGTGTAACATTATACAGACTACGCAGGTTGTATTTACATATCTATGCACCAGTATATGTGTATCTGTGTGTATGTATGTATCTAACAATTTAAAAAAAAGAGGCCATGAATGACAGAAAGCAAGAGGGGATATATGAAAGGGATTGGAAGAAAGGGAAGGGGGAAATGATGTAATTACAGTATGATTTCCAAAAAATATTTACAATAGAATTTACTGGGGCTGTAGAGATGGCTCAACAGTTAAGGATACTGGCTGCTCTTCCAAGGGACTGGAGCTCAGCTCCCAGCACCTACCTGAGGAATCTCATAAGGCCCCGTAACTCTAGCTCCAGATCTGACACCTCCAGCCTCTACAGCCAGCTGTACTCACATGCATATACCCAGAGACACATGCACATAGATAAAAATAAATCTTTAAAAATAAAAGGAGCGTACAGTATTCAGCAAAATTCAAAGATCCACTTTAATAAAATGAATTACTGAGAAATTAATACAATATAAAGTTGGTCACAAGGTAAAGTCTTTTTAGGGGATGGGAATTATGTACACAGGACAAAAGACATAATTCTGCTTAAGATGGTCCGTATTAAAAATAATAAAAAAGTAAAAAGGGTAAGTTAGAGTTTACATGTAATAGAATGAGCAATACTCTCCAGTAAACTCAGAGAATTCCGAGACCAGAGTACAAGGGTCAAACTTGGTTATTAATTATTTTGTGTACCAAGTAATGAGACTGGATTAACAAGTAGATGCCTTTGTTACTTTTTAGGAAGAAGTGTATTTTCCTATATATACCTATTTTATACAAAACCACAAATGCAAACCTTCTTTAAAGTTAAGAATACCCTCAAGAATGAAAGTTTAAAAAAAATTTAATTAAAAAAAAAAGAATGAAAGTAACTACAAAGAAAAAAATCTACTTCTATATGGTGTCTGCAGCTCACACCACAGGTAAAGCCGCTCATCAAGAAGGGTATGCTGCTAAATGGGCTTTTCCCTAGAGATAGACCTAGAAGATGGGGGACGGGAGAAGAAATTGTGGTCTGTGTCTCCACCTGCTGGCGACATTTCATACTACAGCCAGGGCCAACAAAATCAGGATAATATTGTCTTCTGTTAAGTAACATCTCAGGATGACAGATTTTGAACAAGTATAATTAAAATATATTGTTGCTCTCCTAACATATGTAAATTTCAAGAACATGCATTCAAATAGGTAAATATTGACTCTTCTTGAGAGTCACAGGAGTAAGGGTGGGGACTGAGTGGTCTACCTGTGTGAAGTATTTCCCATCCTGTTTCAGAACTTTCATTGACAGGTCAAGAATCAGTCTGAGAAACTCCCATGTAGAATCTGGATATAAAAAAAAAATAAGTTTTGTAAATATGTTCAAATATTTTCAAATATGTTATCAAATATTCAGTCATAGTTAATAAACAAAAAGGAAGAGACCCCTGTGTGCTGGCACATGCCCATCATCATCCTGGCACTTTGGAGGCAGAGGGAAGATCAGGAGTTAAAGAGCATCACTGGCTACATAGTAGCTTTTAGGGCAGCCTGCACTACATGAGACTAATTTAAAGACACATATGCTTGAAAGTTTGTTCATGAACAATAATGTACAATCATATAGCTGATCTGTACAAACACCTACACAAACACCGAGGTCAGGATCAAGTTTGCATCTATTTAAGACAGTCAGTACATCACAATAAAGACTTAGCAAAGCATAGCATAGCATAGCATAGGGACTGAGAGTGTAGCTCAGTAGCAGAGAGTTTGCTCATCCGCAGGAGATCCTGGGTTCCATCCCCAACACCGCTCTCAGATAAAGAACAAAGATTAGACACAAAGGCAGAGCTCAGTCTGAAAGAAAGCTGCTTAAAGAAGGAAGTCAGTAACATTCGCTGAGAAGCTGAGGAAATTCCTGGTTGTGGAAGACACAGAATGCTGCAGCCTCCTTAACAGCAATTCATTGCCTACCTGTGTCAGACCTAACCTTGAGAATATTCCAGGAGACCTTTGTTCATATGTATTAACTTAACAGAGCACACTAGCTTCCACCAATGCCTCTACTAAGAATGTCTTCAGAAAGTTTGGAAACTTCCTCCAGCAGAGGTTACCCTGCTTTGCTGTAACCCACTTCATCTTGCCACCAATGTATTTGAAATATGCCTTGATTTGTGAATTTCTTTTGTTCCACAACTATAAAAACATGAAACTGTTACCACATTAGAACATACTACTTACACTAACCTGAATCCATGTTCCCCAACCATGGTCGCTCATATTTGGTTCCAGAACACTCTTACCCTTTGAGGTATAAGCTGTGTTTTCACATTAGGAAAAGGAAAAAAAATGGGAGGCGGGGAGGAGGCGGAAATTTTTTTCAATAATAATAATAATAAAAAAATTCCAGTCACCTTCCCACCATCAATGCTAGTTCAACTGCTTTTAACAACTAAAAGGAGCTAAGAAGATGGCTCAGTGGGAAATGTACTTGCCATACAAGTGTATGAATTTGAGTTTGCCCGCCAGTACCCACACATAAAATGAGCATGGTGGCATGTGCCTCTGCGATCCCAGTGATGGGGAGACAGACAGGATTCCTAGGGCTTGCTGGCAAGACAGCATTTCCTACTTGATGAAAGTTCTAGGCTCAGCAAGAAACTCTCAAAAAAATAAAGTAGAATGCAATTCAAGAAGATATTCAGTGTTGAGCAGTGGTCTTCACGTGTGTGTGTGTGTGTCTGTCTGTCTGTCTGTCTGTCTATGTGTTGGCATGCACACACGCATTTGTGAACATGTACATGTATATAGTTTGAAACACAGCCGTAGGTGGTGGCCCACGCCTTTAATCCCAACATTCAGGAGGCAAAGGCAGATGGATCTCTGTGAGTTTGAGGCCAGCCTGGTCTACAAGAGCTCACTCCAGGATAGGCTCCAAAGCTACAGAGAAACTCTTGTCTCGAAAAACAAAAACAAACAAACAAACAAACAAACAAAAAACAAGAGTTCAAAACACAATCTACCTTCTTCTGGAGATGTAGAGATCGGGACAGCTGTCAAATCATTAATCACATAATCGAACTCTCTCCCTTCTTTGGCGTACCTCTTCAGTACTGGAATACAGTCTTCTATGAGGACCTTTCAGAATGAACAGGATTGGATGCATGAGTCAATACAAATGGGTGGCATTGAACACTTATAAATACGAAATGAAAGCTGGGGATTAAATTCACAGCACCAGCACCAAAGAGACCTTTCATCCCTGTCTGTTAATAGAAAAACAAAGTGTCAACCATATGCCTATATCCTTTCTCATCTGAGTAATCAATCCCTCTATGGGTGCCATTGCTCCCGTCATTAACTGAAACACAATCTTATTTAAAAAGGTTTCCACGGGTTGCGCATAGACCCTTGATAAGAAAAGAGGACAATCAGATGTGGTAGCCCATCCCCTATTAATTCCAACTCTTGGAAGCTAAGACAGAACGAGTGCTACTCCACAGGTTTGAGGACAGCCTGGCTTTTATATTGAGTTCCTGGCAGGAAGGAGAAGGGAAGATTAGAGTGTAAAAAGTATGGAATTTGATATCTTTGAAGACTTTTACTGTCCTATTGTTTTATAAAATGTAATATATTGCAGAAGTTGCAGTAGGCAAAGGCAGAGAAAATGTGAACACCCAGCTACACAGAGTTTGAGGCCAGCCTGGACTACGTGAGATTTTTGTCTCAACAAAGAAAAAAAAACACCTCAGCTAACTATAATACACACATTCATCCCATCTGAGCATGCCTACCATATGTATGAAAGTCAGGATTTGATCCCAACACCACAAAAAAGTTCATTTGACATCCTCACAATGTTTTCTTTTTAAAAAATATTTATTTATTTATTATGTATACAATATTCTGTCTATGTGTATGCCTGCAGGCCAGAAGAGGACACCAGACCCCATTACAGATGGCTGTGAGTCACCATGTGGTTGCTGGGAATTGAATCAGGACCTCTGGAAGAGCAGTCAGTGCTCTTAACCTCTGAGCCATCTCTCCAGCCCCTCTCAATCTGTTTTCTTCACTAAATTTTATCCCGTGTAATCATCCCAAAGATAGACAATAAACTACTCTACCTAACTTCAAATGTTCTATTCTTGTCTTCAACAATCCTATATGAAGTCATATTAAACCCCTCACTTCCCAATTTAAAAGCTAAATTTTCCTTTGTATCTTAGTTTCCAAATCTAGGGACTAAGTTTACTGAATCTCTCTTTTCAATGGTTTCTAGGGTTAGCTGATTTAGTTCTCAAGCAAGTGGGTAGTCTAGTATGTCACCATCACTTACTAAATCTTTACCCAAATGAAATGAAATGTATTTTTGGCCTGGCGTGGTGGCACACATCTTTAAATCCCAGCATTATGCAGGAGGCAGAGGCAGGCAGATCTATGTAAGTTTGGGACCAATCTAGTCTACATACAAAGCAAGTTCCAGGGCTAGACTGTCTGAAAAAATTAAGAGAGAGAAGGAGGAAGGGAGGGAGGGAGGGGGGAGGGAGGG